AAGCAATTAAACTGGTTGAGATCACATCTATGGTATGCATTAATGCTACACACAATACAATTGGTAGCACTTTCATTAGCAAGATCAACGTCTTTAATGATGGCTTTGGAATAGTGGCACTTTGCGCTTTTGAAACAATCAAAATTGAAAGTGCTAAATTATTTAATTAAGATTTGCTAATAAGAAAGTTACTGAATTTTGAGCAAATAGATCAGCATGTTTGCAAATAGGTTTCGATGGATTTGGAGCCTTTTGCAAAGTTTTTTTTACTTGCATTATGCCCAAAAGGTCGGGTAGGAACGTAAGTCTTGCATGTTAACCGTAATCCAGGGTTTTATTCGATAAAACAACTTAAGTTTTGCAAGATTGTATTGTTTGCATCAGCTTTGATAGACGCGATTCGAAGCCAAAAGCTAAAAAGATCATAGCCAAAAATAAATCTCCTTTTGCAAAAGATTTTACCAGAATTATTTTGTAAAGCTTGCTTTGCTCTATGAAATGGGTGCTACATTTGGGTTTTTTCGCATCTAATCTGCTAATGAGCGAATAAATTTGCATTAATCTGTAAGGATATAATGGCGCTTTCTATTACTTGCGATGGAATCTCAATCAGGCAAACCCCAAAAAGAGAGTGACCATTCGATATTTCAAATTTTTACGCCATTAATCCACGCAAACTTTGATCTAAAAAGCACTAAATGCCCAAAAATTGAAAAAAGACGAATTTCCGTTTGATAACTTTTTTCTACTGATCTCCTACTCGTAGACGTTTATACTATCAACGTCTGATCTCCATATATACTGCAGCATTTTTCTTTCCTAGTTTAGAAGACATGATGAAGCAATGCTAAGCCATAGAGTTAATAACCATAAAGAGAAATTTCAGATAGCATTTGAAGTTGGCTGCAAGAAGAGCACTGGAAGAAAAACAGCTGCTTGGCACTTAAAAAACTTGCTTTAGTTGCCGATAACCTAATACAAACATGGTTTCAGAGCCGCATGCATTAACATCTTCGCCGGGGAGGGGTTTTCAAAAAAAAGGCGTCATATCTCAAAGCTCCGAACTTTCCGCATTTCACGCTGTCTACCTATACATACGTATTCCTACCATCCTTCACCATGAACATACTGAACAGGGGCAAGAAGCTGTACAAGCCACATTTTCCAGCTTTTTGTACGATCCCCTGATGATTCCCAATGGACGACCGTCTTTTCTTCAAAGTCATATTTCTTTTTTCAAAGTTAACGAAAACTTTCTATACCTGTACTTTTCGTCTGACCCAACAGTGCTAAGCATGTTGCTGGTAGAAACAAATGAGTGAAATTTCCAATTTTTCGATAAAACCCAACTTTCGACTCGTGGTTTATTGCAAATATCATGATTCCAGAACATCATTTGTTCTTATCGGCAATATGCTTAGTACTGGTGGGTACTTGGAAACTACTTGAGATAGGACATCGGGCGTTGGGGCATATAAAAGTCTGGAAAATGCGGCTTGTACAGCTTCTCGCTCCTGTTTGATTTAATATGTTTACAGTGAAAGTTAGTAGGAATAGTTACGCGTAAACAGCGTGAAATCCGTATATGTGGAACATCAGGATATAAAGCTTTTCTTTCAAGCTGCGATCCCTTCCTCAGCGGGGATGTTAATCCATGCGGCCCTAGACTTTCGAAAGAATTAGTAAACGAGAAGTATCAAATCCAGGTCAGTAACTTCGATAAGTCTCAGTTGGGTTTCAGGACTAAAACTTAACTGATGCACTTCTGAAGGCTTGTATTGTAGTATACTATGCAAGCTATGCAATGTAGGGGTAAGCATGGCCCAGCAAAATTTTTGTTTCTTTATTTTTTTATAAAGGAAATACAAAGAAATTATTACATGAATGTCTGATGTAAATATATGCGTGAAAGGGTCGGTTCGTAAATCTTGAACTGCAAAGCCGGTGCAAACTTGAACACTGCCTTGTGGAGCACAAATTGCTTATAATACAGGTGTCCCAAAAATATATCCACTGTTTGATTGTTGATAACTCTCTAATTATGAGGGGTCTTTCGAGAAGCGGTAAGCGCCATTTTGTAGAGCTGGCTTCAACTTAGATTAACAGTATAGAGCGAATCATCCATCTTTCTCCGTTACTTCTCCGTAGCAACTTGAAAGAAGGCTTTGGGCTATGAAAGGCCATATTTTGCCTTAGAAAGGAAACAAAACAGCCTGAAAACTTTTACACCAGGCTAATTAGAATTGCTGATTATAACTGTAAAGTTCCCAACTTATTATGATGCTTCACTGAAGAGTTATGCGAGGTAAGCAGTAGCGGCCATTTTCTCAATGTTCCTAAAAAGTGCGGTTACACCGTTTAGAAAGCTTCGCAATCTTAAAAATAATCAAGTATTGAACTCAGCGTTTCTAAAAACCTTATTACACAATTTTCACATCTTTTTGAAAATTTTTGAAACGGCAGCTTTTTCCACAGTGACACCATATGTTCCAAGTTTCTACCGTAATCCTACAGTAATGAAGAGCGGTCGGTGATTTGCTCTATACTGTAAATTTAAGTTGAAGCCAGTTTTACAGAATGGCGCTTACCGCTTCTCGAAAGACTTCATAATAAGAGAGTTATTAACAGTCAAACAGTGCATATAATTTTTGGGACACCCTGTATATATACATGCAAATTTTCTTATGACTAGTATGTGCAATAAACCATCACTTCCTCCTGTGTTATATTCAAGTGAATTACTTCTTTGCTGGAATCATAACAAACATCCTGATTGCATTAATTTCCAATATCCAAACTCTTTTGAAGACACTGTCTGTGAGCAGCAGAAGATACCTTTTATAGGGCTTTGTAACATACTTGATACGTGATATTTATATGAGAAAGGCCATTGCTCGATTGTTAAAGCTTATCAAAAATTCTTCCTTTATCTCCTAGCGGATTTGTTCCAAAGTTTCATTATCGCGGAAAAGCGTCGACATTTTCGCTCGAGACTTGGGATGGGGTTATCGCACCCTCAAATCCAGTCATATCAGTCATTTCGAATCTTGCGAGCTTCACTGCTATATGCTATCGCTCCGCATGCTTTTACCAAAGCTTTTTATTCTGTACATTTTGTTCTTGCATGGGGTCAACAATTTCATAGCGCAATGTTTCAGAGTTATGTTCGTGGCGTTAAAAGCTGTTTTCGCAGTTTTCATGTTAAATGTATCTCTATTTATGCTGTATTACTGCATTAGTATTAGAATGTTGGCCAAACAGATGGTTCAAACGGCGGAACACTTGTAAGTTCAATAGAAGCATGACTGAACATCAGAGTGTCTTTTTCTTTATCATTCAAAAAGACTTCATACAACCACTTATCACACTAAGTGCGCGAGTCAAAAGCTGGTAACTCTGTGGAGGAAAGCTTTCACCTTGTTTGTAAAACGTTTTTACTGTAAGCTGCTGATTCCTTCACTACGATCTATGTATGCCTATCCTAGGTTAATAAGTTAGAAGCGTCACAGAAAACGTTGCAAAAAATAAGTGAGAGGTGTAAGCAACCAATGCTTTCAAGGCACTTGCGCAAAGAAATATTCATGAACGAATAAAAGTGCTGCTCCTTTGTTAACTTAGTAGTAGCTCAACCAATTTGAAAAGAAAGAACGCTCAGTTTTTAACAGTTTGAGTAGTCCAGTCTTTAGGCTACCATAGAGCGGAACCAATTTTGTTCTTATGCCTTACTGCTATCACTCATTTTTCATGTCTCAGACCACCCTGTCTTCGAAGATTTCAAAGGAAAATTGCAATGCGCTTCTCCGATATATGATTTCAAAATTGGCCGCTGATTACCCCATATACAAATGTTTTTATTCTTTATGAATATTTCTCTGTCATTTTGGTACCGCTTGCTCCACTTGCTCCGCTTGCGTAACTTGACACGCTAACAGTGCTAATATATTTTTGTCAGGTCCTCGAAACTATATAAACAGCGTTCCTTCGTTATAAAATACGTCAACTGATTAGGTAACTTTTTGGTTGCCGCACGAGCTATGTTTTGGAAAATTGAAAAAAATCTATATTGGCGGGAAGATGGCAGAAAATCTTGCGCAACAACAATGTTGTACATGCTGGTTCTATTAAGAATCATAAAATTACAGTTGAACCATCAGTTTGTATCATGAAAGCACCGGCAGCCCTTAGAGTACTGGAAGGTGGCAGAAACAAAAAAATTATGGACAATCTTTCAAATGTGATAGTAAAGTATTTTAAGGAATGACCAGCTTGTTTTCGGACATAGAATGGACAGGTCAATGGAAACCAGTTTTTTCGTCTACAGAGCTTATGTGGAGCGAAGGTGCTATTCATATTGATCAGTCTTTTTGTATCTCAGCATTAAGTTTAGCTTCGACCAAATCAATATACGTGTCTTAACAATAAACCACTGCTTGGACTTGAAGTCAATCTACGAAGGATCGATAGACGGTCAGCGAATCTCGCTAAAACCTCAACCTGTTGAAGACTCCTGTCCTTGGCAGTGGGCTCCTGGTTGTCTGTACAATTCCTATGTGCTTGATGGACAGGCAAACATTGTCAAATACAATAGCCCCTACGTAAGTAATGATTTTATAATGTAAACTCAGTAATAATCCAACTTTCGTTAACTCATCAGAGGCAAACCACGCATAATGTGGTAGATCAGACTTACATCAAAACTTTGCAAAGCTTTGCTTTTCATGTACGCTAATATTAAGTTTGGCAGTGAAGATTTTTTATTTATATTTATTTATCTCAATCACAACAGGTTTTTCGTTGAGTTGTCAATTACTTTTGGCTATACTGCGGAGAGCTTTGCTAACCAAGCATGGCATGTTTATTTGTTCATAAGGGAGTTACTGGTAGAATGCAGAAACTGCAAATTGTACTCTTGGATTCAACCGGATTGGCGGTTGGAAGGGGGGCTTCGTGACCTACAGGGCTTATTAAAGGCAGTGTTGCTTGTAACAGCATCTCCACTCCCGCGCTGAACTCTGCGTCTCCTCCGCGAACATGCTCTTTAATCACTTCCAATCGATTGAGGCTCCGCCTATTCCACTCTCGCCCTGGGAAAATGATCAGAGAGCATGTTCGTGGAAGAGATGCAGAGTTTCAGCGCGGAAGCGGACATGCTGATGCAGGCAACACTGCGTTTGATAAGCCCTGTAATTAAGGCTAGGGAATGATCAGAGAACACGTTTGCGAGAGAGGTGCAAATTGCGTTGCGGGGGCAAGCGGTCGCTTTCTAGCGGCCAATCTCTTCAGCCAAAGTATATGTTCTATAATTTCCGCTTTAGATCATTGCTTTGCTTTCTCCGGAAATTTGAAAACTATTTAGAAGCGTTTTTAGCGGGATTTGATTAGTAGTTATGAATGTATTGACTTGGAAAGATAGTTTTCGGAATTTCTGACAATCAAAAGTCAAATTCTTGTATTTTTCGAAATCTAATCCATACATGGATTTGCAGCTGTACTCTTCCTTACATGTAGTTAATGAGCGAGAGGGAGAAGTTCGGGACCAATGGAGATGGAGTTTGCCACTTTTCAATTACCTCGTTCTCTGTTGTACAAGCTCAAATTCATACAATTTGTGCATGTAAGTATGTGTAAACCAAAAATCCGAGCGTGTGGGAGTTTCATACCGCTCTTGGAGGTTAGAGACCCGAGTTAGATCAAAATCATTAGCTTTCGAATTTCCACTTGAATTTGCATAGAAAACATCGGTAATGCTTGTGCTTATCACTGTTCTATACAGGTGTCATCTCTCTTTACGACGGTGCGCAGCATTCTTCAATCAGTGCTCACATCAACACAAAAACATCGTCGAAATGCGATGTCCGAGAAGTTTCTTCCTAGCCTGATAGCTTAAAACTTTGAGTAGTGACTGTGATTTAGGGAGTTAAATTTTCAACTCAATTCTACAGCAACGTAGTTTCAATGAAATCTTTAAGCCCAGGTTACTTCATTTTTAGCTTTTATTTCTGCAGACTGTACAGAGTAGAGACCCCTTAAAACAAAAGTTCCTATTATGCACAGTTCTATGCACACAATTTTCTTTCTAGTAAAATCAGTAGGAGCAAATCAAAATCAGAAGTTACTGTTGAAAAAATTGGGAAAATTCAAAAGTTGGAAGACGCAACTTCTCGGTACAACTACTATAACTACCAAAGAAATTCTTAATTATTTCTCTGTATTTGCATAATGATATGATCAAAATTAGGTTTAAGAAGCTGTACCTGAAATTTGAAACGAGTTTATCAAGTCTTTTTACAGCATATCGGCATCAGTAACTTCATTGATCAAATTTCAGATAACATTATATAGAGGTAAGAAAAAGATTACGATACCTTTGCAACGTGTACCGTACAGGACTAAGGGAGCAATGGCTATTTGTGTTCCGCCACTTTACTGGTGAGTTGTCTTAAAAGGTCTAGATTTGAGTTGTTACGAACAATTAATCCTGATCCCTTCAGAGTTATTATCGTTATGAGTATTTCAGGTACACAAACTGGGCAAAAATGATATTTGCTCTTGAAATGTGGAAAGCACAGGGCGTAGTTCATGTTATCATCTATCACCACTCGTCTACGAAACATGTGTACAAGGTGCTCAGTCAATACCAAAAAGAGGTATGCATATTGAAAAAGCGTCATCTGTTAAGTTTGCCCTGAAACGACTTCTACAAGACATTGCGTTGCCTTTGCGGCATATACAGGGTGTCCCAAAAATATGCCTACTGTTTGATTGTTAATAACTCTCTCGCCATGAAATCTCTCGCAAAAAATTAGGTATTTTGTAAAGCTGGCTTGAACTTAGATAACAAACAGTAGGCAAAACAAACAAAAAACGGTAGGCAAAATAAACAAAAAACAGTAGGCAAAATAAACATTAAACAGTAGGCAGATTATAAATAGTATACACATTTTTTGGGACACCCTGTATTATGAGCCTAGAAAGCATGTGCATATATACATTTGAAATCGTATTGCCTGCTCCTAGCTATGAACGCAAACGCGCGCACGGAGGGAGGCATGAGGTTCTGAAGCAATGGGCTTTTCATAAGCCAAAAGTGAGAACGCATGAGTAAAGGCTACTGCATGACAAAGGCGCACAAGCAGTGTTAGCTGGGAGGGCACGGACGCGGCGCGCACTTTTTTCACCGTTGTAAATACTGGGCCTCATGCGCTCTGCGGCTAATAGAGCCGCATTCGCGCTCGAAGGTATTGTGCCTTCAGCATGCAACAGCGTTATCTTTATGAACATTCAAAGTCACTTTTGGCAACACTCAATGTGCAATGCTGAAACAACACGCAACAAACAACAAACAACAAGGTTAGCTGAGAAATTTATGAGCGAATGAGACCGCTGTTAGCGCTTTCGACAACCGCTCGCCTATGTTGAAGTTGAAGGCACGGCGACGCAAGCAATCAAGTTTTACAAGATCTATACCTGCAAGAAACAAGATAAATCTTACATCACGATAATATTAATTTTACAATCTCTTAAGCATGTATTGGTGACCCGCACGAATCTTAAAATTAAAGGTGAGTTAGACTTGAAAGGAATACGCCTGAAATAGGGGTGCGCTCATTGTTGTTTGTCACGGCTTGTAGCGCTTCGAAACTTTTTCGTGCCCTCGCGTGAGTGCGTGTCGGCAAGGTCTAGACCATACCCTCGATACATAGAGCCGCGTACTCTGGTAACCTTCACTTTGAGGGCTATGAGGGGACACAACCTTCACCTGGAAAAAAAAGAAGTCATCGCGAAGTTTCGGATGTTATTATCCTGACTATTTCAGAACGAATGCTAATGAAGCAAATATAGGGAATAATATCGTTAGTTTATCTCAGCGAAACCGAGAATTCGCGTTTTATAGCCTTTTTTACGTTGAAGAGAACGTTTTTGTGGAATTTTCGCCAGAATTCAAGACGAAATTTTTCTGTTAACCTCTCATTTGCCCAAAATTGAGTATAAGAAGTTTAGGAAAGCTGTTGGAGTTATATTAAAAGAGAAAATGCGCTTAAATCTTTCGCAGAGAGTCGCGCATGAGAACGCTGATGTATCTCGCTAATGAGTGGCTTTCAAAGCTTGGGACGTTGTCACTTGTCCTCGCCGTGTCATGACGATCAGAATGATATATAATGTTGCAGGGTTTCGTTGAGACCCCGCGGAGATTTACGACCAGAGCCAAATGCCCCGTTGGCTCTGGTCTGTCTCCGCTGCTCGTCTGCGTCTCCGCGCGCTGCGTGCTACCTCGCTACCCCAAACGCGGGGCGCAAGGCATTTGGCTCTGGTACCCTTTTCTTCGCTGTTTCGAACCCAATTTTATCAAGCTATATATCATTTTGAAGCTCTTAATCTCTATTTTCACGCTGACAACGTCCCAGAACCACATTCTTTGATTTGATCGAGAAATTCGGCAAAAACCTTGTTTTTGAAAATCTCTTGTTTTTCTTCTAGTTTGACACTTTTCACGCGGTTTTTTCGTGCATACTATAGATCTTGCTTCTGCTCATAATGTAGACAACCACCCAGCCCTTACTTCTTCGATTATGATAGAATTTTTTGCGAAAAATCGTAAAATGTGCGTTTTTCTTTACCTTGTTCTGTTTCAGTGCTTTCGCAGCGATTTTTTTCCAGCTTGGGCGATTGTTGCTCAGAACAATAAGCGCAACAATCCAGACAACGTCCCAGGAAACAGGAACGTCAATGCGGGGTAAAAATTTAAAGGACGCATCAAAAATCAAAACTCCGTGTTACGAATTGCTGGTCTTGGAGCGAAAACTTGCACCTTGAAAAGCCGCCAATCAAAAGATTTCAAACCTTTTTGCAGCGTTTTTATCCGGTTTTCAGCCGTTTCTTTTGCTTTTTATATTCGTTTTACGTCATTTTTTCATCTCTGATCTTCTTTGGGCAACCTTCACTATTTATGACGTCAGATGTTCAAACAACCTTCACTTTTGACGCCCTGTCTCTAGACTATCGAAGGTATGGTCTAGACACCAGATCTTGCACAGCCTTTGGTAAGGGGTAGAGGACTATATGTCGCCGGCGACATTTGGTCATTCGCAACAAATGCACCCTTGCACGTGTACGGAGGTGCGTTGTTGCAAGAAGTCCGCAAAGGACGCATTTACCTGGCTGAGAGCTAGGTCAGCTAGCTTCACTCCGAACGAAATGCACGTATCTCGATCGAAACAGCGCAGGGACAGCTCGGGGCTGGCTCGGCGCCGGCGCAGCGCTTGCGTAGCTTCGGCACTCTGACGGGAGCTTTAGCGATTCATAACAGGGCTTTTGCATAACAGCCCAGACAATCGCCGGGGGCAGGCGGGCACCGGAAAAATAGATGGCTGATTTCTCGAATCCCGCTCGCGGATTTTTTGAGAGGCAATCAGGACTTTTCGGAACGTCGCTTGCTGAAGTCTCGATTCCTCAGAGATTCAACAATATATCTGCAAAAGATAAGAGCGAAAAAAATTCAACAGGCGGTCTCTCAGAAACTCGCTAACTATTTTCCTGGAATTTGCGAGCGGGATGCGAAATTTCAGCAACGCGTATTTTCCGGTGCCCGCCTGCCCCCGGCGATTGTCTGAGAGGGTGTCAAAACTATCAGACAAGCGGAACGCTCCCAGGCCAGGCGTGAGCTCCCCCTTCCCCTCTCCCCCCTCACTTTCCAAGCTTTACTAAGGATTAAGTGGGGAAACCCCACTATTGTATAACGTCGCATTACAACCCTTATGATATGGACGCGCCTTTGATGTACTAAATAACTCTTTACACTCAAGCTTTCATGCTTCAGTGTCTCGTAATCTTGCTCCTCAATGTATTTTTATTGTATTTGTATTTTTTCATTCTTATTCTCATACTGTAGCTAGAGGTTAAATTCCAAATAGTGGTGTGATTGCACAACTTGGGAGTTTGCCCGTTACGTAGTCTGTACAGAAAGGAAACATGCGAGATCAAAAGTGCAGGTGAGTGGGTTACTCTTGAGCGAAAATATTTTCTTAATTTAGAGTTATGAATACTCCAGTCGTTTTTGAAAAGCAAAGTAATACGGGTCACATTGGTTTAGAATTTTTCCGAATTGACAAATTTTTGTTGAATTTCTTTCACGGACAAAGCTGGAGTCATTGCGTAATGAAACAAAATAAGCTCTAACTGGTTTTTCCAAAATTAGATTGAAGTTTGATCTAAATAAAATGAAAACCAGAGGCCCGCGGTAAAGCTCGGTCAGATCAGATGACCTGAAATGAGGATTTCAGAAGAAGTTAAAGATGAACTGACCAGCGACCAATCCCACTGCTATGAAAACGCGACCTGCTTTACGGGTGAGCGTCAGGGCACGTGCCGCAGTGATTACCTAACTTCCGTAAGAGCAGCGTCGATTTTGAAACGAACTCAAGGAATTTGTGTGCAAAGGATGAGAGGCAAAAAAATTACATTACTTGCTTGTGTGTAACTTGCGGGATACGTAATGTGACATATTATCGCGGGCTAGAGTGCGCGAAACTGCACATTTTCGAGCGCTTACGGATTGAAAGGATGGACAGCTGATTGCAGTCAAGAATGGGGAATGACTGGTTTTTTCTTTTCTGCATGGTTCTCCTTATCTTCGTAAAAAAGTTGCGTTGAGTAAAATTTCCTTATTCATTCCTTGTCTTTTTCAGAAATTGTGGTTTTTATGAGAATCCGTGCTAAAATATTTTTTACCTTTACTTAGGTGAACTTTTTGATTCCGGTCTGATTTTTGTTACTGACCGCCAGTAATGATTACGTGCCAATGCCGCAAAAATTATCCCGCTAGCGGATCTCAGACCACGGCGGATGGCCTTGCAACGCAATCAGTTATCCATTTGACCATGCTTGAACAAACAATCTTGCTGTTTCTTCTTGAACGTCCATCACTTGGTTTTCAAAAAACCAACATTTATATCAAAAGCTCGCGGGATGTTAAACTAAGGCGTCCTACGATCAACTTTGGTCCACTCTCAAAGGAGACGTTATGACGGGGAGGTAGGGGGGGGGGTGTTACTACGGGCCAGTATCTAGAAAATTTGCGCAAAGGTTGAGTTAGCGTTTAGAATGATTTTACGGGTCTTTTGCATGCTCATTTAAACTCTCATTTCCTATACAGCTGCTGCATTTTTTGATAGCCGGAATTTGTGCGAACGAGAAAGGCCGTTTAGGCCAAAGCTGTTCTACGTTTTACCCCAAAGGTAGTTTTAGAGGCAGTGGCTCGGCAAAACTCAACAACTCAAAATGTTAACGCGGTAGACTCCCTATTGCCCAAGTATGAAAAGAGTGCAATCTCGGTTGCACAGCATGCCTTCCTTGCCGAGAAAATTGCTCTCAAACTTACAAGCGCAGGCCATTCTTACACGCATCTGGACGAGTTGGCAATTTCCTTTTCACCACTGGAGGCTGCCCGCCGCAACTCTATAGGCTGGGTTCATACTGATTCCCATGTTCTAGAACTGTTCCCGCACAGTTCTCGCACTGTGCTAGAGCTGTGCGGGAACTGTGCGGGAACAGTTCCAGAACTGTGCTGCATGCGCTGCAGCCGTCCGCACCGTTTTGAACGGCGGGAGTTGGATTGACAGTTCTCAACGGTTTTTCTTCCAGATTTCGCTCATTTTGGCCTTATTGCTCCACCCCGCTTCCCTTTTTGATCAGCAGAACTTCTAACTGGAAGCGGGTTTGAAGAATGAGCGCTTTTCTGCGCCGTGTATCCGGGAAGATGGACCTTCGTGCGCTCGTCCATTCTCTCTTCGTGATTTTTGCTCAAAACTACTTCATTTGTTCCAGGAAGCGGCTGCCCAGTTTCCATAGCCATCTGCCACGAATCAGGGAGTAGGAGAAATCCTGAAATTGCATGAGTTGGGACTTGTCTCTTGTTTTTGATGATTTTGGGCGTTCTTAGCCTTGTTCGTTTTTCCATGTCGTTGCTTCTCCGTTCTTTCTTCTACCCCGCTTCTCCTAGTAATGAGAAAAGCTGTGAATTCGAAGCGGGGTTGAGAATCGAACGCTGTTCCGCTTCATGTATCCGGGAAGATGGACCGTGCGCTCGTCCATCTTCTCTGCCATTTTTGTTCAGGCCTACTTCATGTGTTCTAGAGACTTGTCTATTTCAATTTCAATACAAATGCGAGACTACGCAGCGACTTGTTAGTACACATGAAGTAGGTCTGAACAAAAATAGCGATGAGAGAATGGACGAGCGCACGAAGGCCCATATTTCCGGATAAATGGAGCAGAACAGCGTTTAATTCTCAACCCCGCTTTGAATTCACAGCTTTTCTCATCACTAGGAGAAGCGGGGTAGAAGAAAGAACGGAGAAGCAGCGATATGGAAAAACGAAAAAGGCTGGGAAGCCAAAATCATGAAAAGCAAGAGACAAGTCCCAACTCATGCAATTTCAGGATTTCTCCTACTCCCTAATTCGTGGCAGGTGGCTATGGAAACTAGGCAGCCGCTTCCTGGAACAAATGAAGTAGTTTTGAGCAAAAAAAAAACACGAAGACAGAAAGAACAATCGCACGATAGCCCATCTTTCCGAATACACGGCGCAGAAAAGCACTCATTCTTCAACCCCGCTTCCAGTTCCAAGTTCTACTGATCAAAAAGGGAAGCGGGGTGGAGGAATAAGGCCAAAATGAGCGAAATCTGGAAGAAAGACCGTTGAAAACGGTCAAATTTCTCCAACCCGCCGTTCAGAACGGTGCGGGGCGGCTGGCGCATGCAGCACAGTTCTGGAACTGTTCCCACACAGTTCCCGCACGGTTCCAGCACAGTGCGAGAACTGTGCGGGAACAGATCCAGAACATGGGAATCAGTATGAACCCAGCCATAACCATGGGTCCTGCGCCTTGCAGCACTCGTCCAATTTCAAAGGGAAGGACATTGAAAAACGCTCGTTTTCGGCATTTTCAAGCTCTCAAAAGTGGATTTTTGGAATCAGCTTATTGAATGATCCCAGGTAAGCAAAAATTTGACTATGTTGAGATTTGCCGAGCCACTGCCTTCAAAACGCGCGATTGTGAAGGTAAAGATTTTAGCTACTCTGCAGAAGCCATAAATTGAGAAAAAAATTGATCTGGCTTAATTGATCTCGGCAAAATTAAATCATGCTTCTTATGCTGTTTGTGTTTCTAGTCGTTCTAAATATTGAAAAAGCACAGCAGTTTTACGTATAATGTAGAGAGTACAAGCAGCTTTAAGATCTATAGGATTCTGGTCAAAGATTTCAATTCTGTGTTGTTCCAAAATTCTACATTTTAATTCAAAACACGACGTGATCTATCTTAATCGAATGTTACAGGCTTTACGCTCCGCTTTTTCTGCATTGTCGCGTAGTAAATCTAGTATAAAGTTGACAATTGACAATTGAGTTGACTACAGTCTTCTATACCGGTAGCAAAAACGCGAGAAGCAGAATTGCGCTCACAAAGCTTCTTGAGTAGCATTCTCGAAACGGCACCTACAGTGGAATCCAGGGAAAACAAAAAATTTTACTGTCATCAGAAGACATCGCACTTTTAGGGCTTTGTCACAATTGTTCCTTGGCCCTCGCTGCCGCAAACTCCATTTGAAGACCCCAATCAATCCCTCTACCGCCTAGCTCACTCGCTTGCTCATAACGACTGTGTTTTGCGATTGAACACTGAGTTTGGAGCGCTCATTGATGTGGACGAAGTCATTATGCCCAGGTTTAGTTTCTATCCAAACTCTGCGTGATAGTTGCACAATTTTTTCAGGAACCACACACTTATGTCTTTTGTGGTCGAAAACTTTGCGAACTCGTCCGTCGGTGCCCTTCTGTTCAAGCACCATACTTTGGCTCTAAACCCTAACTATGCTGGACAAAATTTCTCGTATGATACGCTTAACTTTTCCGGGATTTGGGACGCAACCGAACTTGAATACGAGGGACCGCCAAAGGTTTTCATCAAAGACGTTAATTTTATGTAATCATCGCTCATATGGCCACTGCATTTCTTTTGAGATTGTATTTCGAACGGAGAAAATTGATTTATTGCTTACGCACAACGTGAAGTCGTTCAAATCTAATTTTTCAGTTTTGGAGGTGAGTACCTTTTTAAACTAATGCTTTTTGTGTACCCTGCGATGTAGAAAGGTATAACATGCTGCTTATAAGAGCTTTTGAAAAATTGTGTCTTTGTAGTTTTTTTTTGATAACAACGACTCCCATCTGAAAAATCATTCATTTGAGCGTCTTATTTCGGCAAACACTCAGTGCGACAATTTGAAATCTATCTACTCTTTGATTCAACAGAATTGGCAGCTGGAAGGCGGGCCTTCGAGGCCTGAACAAGGCTAGGGAATGATCAGAGAGTGCATTCGCGAAGAAGATGCAGACTGCGTCTCGCATGTGAGCGATCCTCTTCTACCGCCAGTCCCTTTGAATCAAGGAGTAGATGGAATATCAGTGGCAGAATCGGGTGACCAACATCCCCGCCCCGCGCGGCGCGGCCGCCTCACTGAACTTACCGCATTTCTTTCGCAAACATGCTCTCTTATCACTTTTCCACCACGAGCATGGGAAAGGCGGAACTTGGATCGCCAATGAAGCCTGTGAAAATGATTAGCATGTTCGTAAAAGAGGTGCAGGGTTCATGATAAGCGGCCACGCAGAAGCGACTTTGCAACTGTTAAGCCCTGTAACTTTAGAAATATGAAGACCTTCTCGTCTTTTTGAGCGATGTCACAATCCTGAAACCTTTTCAGATCCCTGAAAAATCTGCTGCCTTGCTGCACCACCGATATAACATCGGAATCGATTGGATTGGGAGAAATCCTCAAAGCGTTAGATTGCTGCCGACTACAGCAGAGCTTAATGCTCTTCATAAGTCACTCAATCACCGCAAGGAAGCTATATTTCCGAATGGAGCTGATTTTAATTTTGAAACTCAGATGCAACTAGGATTTTGTCTGCAGCGGTAAGCTCTGTTTTTGTACTGGTCTTAAATATGAATTTAAAAAAATAAAAACTAGAATTTCAGTTGGCGAATTGCACAACAAGAATGCAAAACCCCTATATCGACCTGCGCAAGCGTTATGCTTCCTTTGGAAGATTGGCATTTTGCGAAGGATAGTAATCAGTACCGTATATTATAGATTTATAAGAAAAACATCGGCTTTTCATGCATAGCACTTCATACATGTTCAATTTTCATTGATTCGATAATGTGTAGAAACAGAATTGAGTTGCCGTCCATTACCAAAGTATCCCTATGTTTTTACCGCAATGGCTTAGCTTGTTTTGAATGTACAAATTGCGAATTAGTAAGCTAACGTTTATCGATCTCTTGAATTCTCCAGACCATTAACCTCCCAATACTGTCACGTATCTTTGAGGTTAAGTATCTTTGAGAACATGTTTGTCAATTTGTTTGACACATTTTCACATTATCAGAGCCGTTTCAGGGCTTCCACATTAACTTTTCGTTCGTCTAATTTATCGATGTGCATTACATTGTTCTATCTATTGTTATTAATAAATTTTGAGTCTTTGATTAGGTCGGTCCGAAAGCTCGTGCCGTTTTTCAGCACTATGCTCATACCACTTAGAATAAAGACAAAGAAAAGCTGTAAGCACTATCCGATGCAGTCCTCTTCCTAAAAGTTATGTCGCTTTTCAGATTTCCTTGTTGTCCGCTCAACAATTTGCAAGGATCTCCACCAATGATTTTTACCCATTGAGTTTGGCTTTTTTTTTAAATTTCGGTTTTCAACTTTTGGACTAACTTTAATTACAATTGGATAGAACAAACAAAATTCAGTACAATGAACTATTTTGGCTTCATCAACTAACTATTCAGTATTTCTTAAAATAGTATTTCCAAAAGCCCTTACTTTTGCGAAGTCTTGAATTGCGAAGTCTTGAATTACACAGTCGCTTCAAACACTGACAAATCTTCGGAATTTGAGGCTTTCAAAAACAGCTTATTACTTAACGCTAATTTCAGTAAGCAACTGAGCGTTTAGCGGTTTAAAATAATGGATTCCGAATTTTCTGAGTACAGCCTAGGACGAGTTTGGAAAACAAGAATTATAATGATTTTGTCCTCACATACTATGCAAATTAAAAAGAAAAGAAGTCTATCAAAAAGAGGAAAAAAAGCTGCATTCAATGCCACCTTGGTTGCTCGTCGTTTATTGTTCTGTGATGGATTGAAATCCCCAAATATGGAATTTCATAGCATCAGAAAAATATTTTCAAAAATGTTGAGAAGACGGCTAGAAATGCCAAAAAATGTATTGTACTGCATTTTGTTTGTTCGATCCAATTATTATCAAAGCTGGTTCAAAAGTTGAAATTGGAAATTTCAAAAAATAGCCAAATTCAAGATGGGCGAAAATCACGGTTGGAGATCCCTGCCGATTATTGAGCAGACGTCAAGGGAATCTGAACAGAAACATAAATCAAGAGAAAAAATTGTGCATTGGATAGTGCTTACAGCTTTTCTCTCTTCATTCTAAGTGGTTTGAGCATGAATCTAAAAAACGGTCAAACTCATTTTTTCAATTGAAAGTGTGATAGCGTGTCCTATTTACTTCTACCCGTCGTTTTGCAATTATTTTTTGCAGCGTTATGCCCACAGATGAGTTCCATGTCAAGTATAGTAAAAGACTTTATCTTTTCACAATCTAAAGCAATGGTCACGAAAACAAATCAAAAAGGAGGTTTTTTTAGTATCGCTGTGCCGTACAAGGTGTTATAAGGTGGTAGCTTTATCCGTATTAATCTGACATTTCAAGGCCATCGTTACAGAGTCATTTGTTTAGCTAGTTTTAAAAATATTCCAGACCACTCTATAACACCTTGCACGGCACAGTGACACTAAAAAGACTTTCTTTTGCTTTGATTTTGTTTTCAGGACTATCGTTACATAAACTCAAAAAGGTTCATTTGTGTTAGTTTTAGAACTAATCCAAATTCACAACACAAATATGAACCCATTGTTATATTTTATCAACACTCAAACCAATTAGACCCAATTATTTGTAAACCAATTATACCCAATTATTTGTTATTGTAATTTGGAGTAATATGTATTAGGTTGTCCGGAAATTAATGCAGGTTTCGAATTCCAACCGCAATAAGTCATAAGTAAACCTAATTAATTCAACCTACTCAATTTTTAAATAGTCTGCAAAACAACATGATAGAACAAAGCAAGCTCTACAAGATGGCCATGCTGCTTTTGCAACAGCTCTCATCCATCTCGAGTTTCGTACCAAAAACCAAAAAGACTTAGCAGCCCGAAAAATCGAAAAAATCGTAACTTAGTTCATAAAAATCCTACAAAAATTCTAACTTGCTCACATAAACATACATTAGGCATCTATATACGCCGTTGCCGTATTTTTTTTCTCGTTAGAAATCAAGAAAACGGAAATTTTCGTGCATTTGCCAAAGCGGTGCTGTGCCATTCCCACATAAGTAGTTGTGTACTACAAACCTGTAGAAGTATAAACGTAAATTTCCAGCTCCCTACAAGCTTTGTTCTCGAAAAATATCGGATACAGTTTTCCCTAGTCATATGGTCCAAGCTAAAGTTCAAATTCTCGAGAACTAAAGCTTGTAGGGAGCTGGAAATCTACGTTTGTATTTACTACAGGTTTGTAGTGTTCAACTACTTATGTGGGAACGGCACAGCATCACTTTGGCAAGTTCACGCAAATTTCCACTTTCTTGATTTTCAACGGGGAAAAATTACGGCAGCGGTGTATATAAATGCCTTATGTGGATTGTGTTTACGTAGCGAACTAGAATTTTTGTAGGATTTTTATGAACTGAGTTACGATTTTCTCATTCGGGCACTGAAATCTTTTCAGTTTTTGGCTCGAAACTCGTGGTGGATCAGAGCTGTTGCTAAAGCAAGGTAGCCATTTTGTAGAGCTTACTTTGTTCTATCGAATGATATTTTGCAACCTACTTACAATTTGAAATGAGAAATGTATGACTTATTGCGGTTGGAATTCAAAACCTGCATTAATTTCCGGGACAACCTAATAAAGAATCTACCCTAATTTCGCGCGTACAAGGCGCGGGGGATTTTTTCCTAAAATTAACTAGCACGAATACGCTAAAGAACTTCGCAACCGAAGGACCCTATGCCGTGTCGTATATTGCCTAAGAGAATCGTACGGCATAAGGATCGCTTTCCGAAATACTTTGAAGCGGCTGAGAGGCTTGGTTGAAAAATCGAAAAAGGTGCGCCTTGTACGCGTGAAATTAGGGTAATTCAAACGGTATTATTTAAGAAAGTTTTAGAGACTTTTATGTAATAATTATCTGTTCTCATATTTGATGGTTTTCTCACCATCAATAAACCAAATATGTATGTGGCTTCGGAGCATAAATATAAGAGAGTTTACATATTTTTTGCACTTTGGTTTGGGTTGATGGAGCGCTAAAAAATCTGCTATCCAGTAAAAACCCGGGACATACCATTGCTTTTCTCAGTTTTTGGATATAAATATTAGGTTGGCCCACTCGTTCTTATTCGAGTTGAAGCGCAGTATTTACCAGTTTACTAATTTGAATCTATTAGGTTGGCCCGAAAGTTCTGTCGTTTCACTTTTGAAAAATCATAACTTTGCGCTGTCTCAACGGATTTACTTCTCTATATTTTTATTAGAAAGGGTAAGTCTTTCTCTTTCGAAGGCTTTTTTGCTGAGCCTTTGCAGCCTACACACTGACTGCAGAGATAAAAATGGAAAATGAAGACCATATAAACTTTGCTCACTTTAACTTAATTCGCCAAAAATCTGGAAAGCTGTCGCCAACACAGAGTTTTCTGACCCACTCTTTCCAGCTTCAAAGAATTGGCTTGTTTGGACGTCTCTGTGAGAAGTTACGAATTACCAGTTTACTACAGAAGACGCTAGAATTAATTAATTTGACACTTTTCTCGGAAATCATAACTTTTTAAAGAGACGTCCAAACAGGACGAACTCTTCACAGTTGGAAAGGTAGGTCAAAAAAATCTATGTGCTGTACAAAACGCTCATGTGTTGACGATTTCAGATTTTCCTGCACCATTCCCGAACCTAAGTTAAAATGAGCAAAGTTTATATAATCTTCTTTTCCTATTTTTATCTCCGCAGTCAGTGCGTAGGCTGCAAAGGCTCAGCAAAGAAACATTCGAACGAGAAAGATTTACCCTTTTTAATAAAAATATGGAGAAGTTAATCCGTTGAGGCAGCACAAAGTTATGATTTTTCAAAAATGAAACGACAGAACTTTCTGGCCAATCTAATAGTTCAAATCAGTAAACTTTGGTAAATACTGCGTTTCAACTCGAATAAGAACAAGTGTGATATGCTGAGTTAGGTAAGCCTTTTAGCCATCTCTCTTTCACTGTACGAGTCGCGCTGACAGAAAAAGCGCAATAAGAATATTGTTCTTATTAAACCGTTTTCTTTTGACTTTGGCTAGCTGGAATAAAGCTGTTTAGATGAATTTGCTGAGACTCTTGCTATCGAACACAGTTTTGCAAAAGTCATTTATACTCTTATTGCGTCAAGTTCATGCGTCGATGACAGCGATAATTACACCTAGAAACTATTGTTCATTATTGCACGAAATTTCTACAGAGACTAGTTACATGCAACATATGTTCCAAAACCAAGGTAAGTGCTTACTCATTATGCAATCATGCAACAGGGAGAGGGAACCCGAATATAACAAAGTCATGATAATAAATATCAATTATTTTTCTCAGTATTTCTTTGTTCAGTGATATCAATTGCCTAACAAGAACAACATCTTTAGAACCACGAGTCGAATGTCTTGTAGATCCCTCTGAAACGAACAGAAGGTAAATATAAGGTTGAACCAAAAGCTCAATCGTTTCATTTTCAAAAATTTGTAACTTCGCGAGATTTCAACGGATTTGCTTGCTTGTAATTTTATTAGAAAGACTAGAACTTCTGCTTTCAGCCGCTGTTTTGTGGAGCTTCTGATTCACACTGAGTGCAGAGATAAAAATGGAAAACTAAGACCATGTAAACTTTGACCATTTTAAACTATGTCACCAAAAATCTGGAATGCTGCAGAAAAATTTGAAATCGTCAGTACATATGTTTTTTGGCCTACTCTTTGCAATTGTGAAGAGTTTGTGCTGTTTGGACGTCTCTGTGAGAAGTTATGATTTTCGCGAAAATTGACAAATTAATAAATTTTGGCGTTTTCCATAGTAAACTCGATACTCATAACTTCTCACAGAGACATCCAAACAGCACAAACTCTTCACAATTGCAAAGAGTAGGCCAAAAAACATATGTACTGACGATTTCAGATTTTTCTGCAGCATTCCAGATTTTTGGTGACCTAACTTAAAATGGTCAAAGCTTACATGGTCTTAGCTTCCCATTTTTATCTCTGCACTCAGTGTGAAGCAGAAGCTCCTCAAAACAGCGATTGAAAGCGGAAGGCCTAATCTTTCTAATAAAATTACAAGCAAGCAAATCCTTTGAAATCTCGCGAAGCTACAAATTTTTGAAAATGAAACGACAGAACTTTCGGTTCAACCTAATAATAGCGTGTGAACATTAATTATTTGTACATACTCACTCAAAATTTCCTCCTTTATTATTTTACGCTCAAAAGATGAGATTCCAGATTTTTCAAACAAGTTGTCAAATTGAGAGGCCACTCTTGCAATTCCTTTCTCCGTATTGGAGTACTTCAGAATGGTATAGTTGTTGATGTGATTTCTAAAGTCGCAGTACCTAAATTATGATTGTGCTGTATCTTATATATAAAGCTGAATGTCTGTTTGTCTGTATGTCTGTATGTCTGTCTGTCTGTGTGTACGTATGTTCCGAATAGAAAATTTTATTTTTAAACCGATCCGGACCAAACTTGGCACACATGCACTTCGGGGCCCCGGCGGGTGTCATAGGCTACTTTTCGTCATCGATCGATATCGATTTTATCGATTTTTTGCAAAATTTGAGCTACGGGGCCGGGAGTTGGCAAAGGGGGTAATCAAGCATGCTGAATACGAATATAATAATGAATGACAGGGCCGGGCGGAGCCGGGTCAATTGACTTGTTGTGTTATAAAATGGAAATGTGCAAAAAAATAAATTCTTACCACGATTGAGGGGCAAAATGGCGATCAAAATAAAAATCGCCATTTTCATTTCGCAGAATGCTTCGCAAGGAGCAGTGTAATCGATTTAGGAAGCATCGTAGAGAGCTATCTTTTGTTTTCCGAGGGCATCCGTAGCACGAGTTCCATCGATGACGCTCTCTGTAATAGGCAAGCGTTTATGGAAATGTGCATACGATTTTCGAACATTCTAATCGTCTACATCGAAAAAGTTCAAAACTTATGCGAATTCTCCAATATTCATGCTCCGAACCAACCCAGTTTGTTTGGTGTTTGTGAAACGAGAAATCGGAGAAATATTAGGACATACAAGTCTTGAAACTTCTAACATAATATATTTTGAATAGTATCGTAGAGTAGTATTTCCATAGAAAATAAGGTAGAGTAGTATTTCACAAAAAATTTGTGAAAAGTTTGGCAAGGGGTGTGCAAACTTTTTATCAAGAATTTTCTCGCTATTGTAGACTGTACTCGTTTGCACAATATAGTGGTAACGATATAATTGTGTATACTTGGTAAAAAGTAAAAGTAAATTTAATTTATGAATTCCTTCAAAAAATTTATGTAAATGAAACAGCGCTCAACTTTTTTTCCAAAATGGAATCGCAAATGCCGCCTTAAGCTCTCCTTGAAGGTGCCACAAATAGCAATTTATGGTTCTAATTTTGACGGCATTTTTCTACACCCAAGGCGTTGGGTGTAGTAACTATTTATTTTGAAAATTTCTCTATTCTCTTGAAAATCCAAAATAGCAATTGCCGCCTGTTTGCAAGGAGGAAACGATCTAACTCACTAGCCACGCAGCCGTTAGAAAAGGGAAGTGTATACTCTAGAAAACAAGTTTATTTTCATGTGTCTGTTTTCCACTCTCGTGCGCGCAATTGTTGCGATAAACAAAACAGGTTATACGTTTCTTCACTATGGAATTATCGAAAAAAGCACTGCTTTGACAGCATGATTCAACCTTTGTAGTTCTCAGGTGGAGAGGGAATCCTATTTTTCAAAGTCATTTTGTTGGAAGTCAATAAGTATATCACAAAGCTGTCGCAATTTCCAATCCAGTAGTGCTGTGTTTTGATAAGAAAAATGAGATATTAAGTATTAAATACTTTAATCAACGACATATCGAGACTAGAGTTTATCATCTCAAAGTTCTAGTAAAAACTTGTTCTTATTACAATCATGATTTGCACTGCCGTGCAATGTGTGGTAGGCCTGAGGCTTAAGGCTTCATTAGATTCCAGTCGCTGCGCGATCTTGCACTTCAACGACTCTTCATAAGTAGTGATAAATGCGCTTTGCTTGGGCTAAAGTTGATGCTTTGCGACAACTTACAGAAACTACGCCCCTATGAATTCAAGACCCGCGCACGGTTGATTTGAAGAAATCCGGCAAACCGTGAACTCGCTTGGATATAGCGATTTAACGGAGTCGCGGGAGGTATGCCTTAGGCCCAAAGCATGCCTTAGCCCACTCAATCGGTAGCGCGATTTACATACAACAATTCTCTATAATTGGTCTGCTTCGCTTGAGTCTTAGAACAGTGTATAAAAGTGTTAAAAACGTAAGATTTTCGGTATTTTTTTCTGTATGGAGAGCTTCCCCGCTTTTAACCATATTGCAGAGCTGGCTTCAATTATTATTACAGTATAAAACAAATCTTTTACTCTTCATTAGCGTAGGATACGGTAGGCACTTCTAACACATAACACTATTGTGAGTGGACCGCAAATTCATAATTATTTACTAAAAAGTCTGACCAATTAATTTGGAAAAGGATTGAAGCATTAAGCTTAATACTGGCGATACTCGTCAATCAGACACCTTTTTCTCTCGTCTGAGCTGGCATGAGGTTGCCGAATGCGCACTTCCATCTGTTTATATTGGAGTTGCTGAAGGTTGAAAGTTGGATATTAGCACACGTTTGTTACGTTTTCATTCAATGTGAGTAAAGAATAATAATTTTGAGAAAAGAACTTGACCGCTGGGTTTATCAGGAATAATGCGAGAAATTGAAATTGAAGTTCGCGACTATACGCTTCTTTTGATGTCCAAAGTAGAATATATTAGGTTGGCTAAGAAGTATGTTCGGTGTTTTCATCGGTTTGTAGACGAATTACAATTTATTTGTGTTAAGGTATGGTACCCTGGAAGATATATCAAGTAAAATTGAATTTTTCAATTTGTTTGAGCGCCATTCGTCATTTTGACAGCGAAATCGTGCTGGAAATCAAAGTAGTCAGATTTTTTCATCAACTAAAAAAATCATGCTCAGAAAAACAAGCTGAAGGTGGGTTTAAAATGCACAATCCAACAAATTGTAGGACCATAGATGGTTAAATTCAAGCAATCTTAATTGCCCAAAACCTGACTTCCACGCGCAAATGGCTGGAAATTTTCAAATTTTTGGCTGCAGTAATTCACAAAAATCAGATCACATTCTCCATTGTAGTTCGCCAAGTTACCAAAAGATGTTAAGTTTAACCACCAAATAAGTCGTCTGTGCACTCACTATAGGCTGAAAACCTTGAAAATTTGGAAAAGCGATTCTTTTAGAGCTCTGACCATGTAAGGGCCCAAGTGTCACTTTTGGGTGACGAAAATATGACTAGATCTTTGTGAATAGAGGCTTGAAGATACTTTCTCGCAAAAAAATTTCAGTTGAATAGCTGCTATTCGAATTGTTATGGAATTTTGAAGCATGTCAAATCAAACTTAATATTAGCCGACCTAATAATAGAGACATTTGAGGATGGACAAAGCATGAAATCAAATTCGTTCAAGTTTCACTGTCTCTATTATCAGGTTGGCTAATATTAAGTTTGGTTTGACATGCTTCGAAATTCCATGACAATTCGAATAGCAGCTATTCAATTGAAATTTTTTTCGCGAGAAAGTATCTTCAAGCCTCTATTTACAAAGATCAAGTTGTCATATTTTCGTGACCCAAAAGTGACACTTGAGGATGGACAAAGCATGAAATCCAGTTCCAGTTCGTTCAAGTTTCACACTATATTTTCTCATTATAATAGATCAAGATTCCTCACCTCAAACATTTGTCTACAAAACCGCTTATCAGTCGTTCTACAGGGTCTCTCACAATCGTAAACAAGACAACATCTTGCCCCATATTCTTTAAAGTTTTATCAAGATCTTCGTGGACGTAACTTCGCTCCTTGCAGAACCTGTAAAGATAGTTACAACAAATTCTGACATATTGCTTTCCTTTGTTGATACATACATTTTTGATGGTGAATTTAGAAAATTCGTGTTTTTTTTTCTGAGTTTGTGCTATGCGGAAGTTAGCTATATTAACGCATACCTTTCTTTCTTTTTCCACGGTTCGTTGCTAATGGTTCTGTTATGCTCCAAAAATTTTTTCGAGTCGGTGAGAAAGCAAAATATAGCTCCTCTGATTGTACTCATTATTTTTTCTATTTGGCAAGTGGCGAGGCGATACTTGTCTAATACCTAAATTTTGGAATTGCGGTCGCAATTGACTGTGACACTCCGCTTACCAAATACTGTTCTCGATATCTAATAAAGGGTGGCAATATGTAACTTTTGTTTTTTGCGAAGAATGCTGCTTCTTGCCATTCAAGATTTTCGGTGCGGAGTCTGTCTATGAAGTTGATATTGAAAAAGTGAGATTTCTGATCGCACTAGTCAGTTTTTTCTATAGTAACAAAAGATAATGAAAAGTCGACTCACCTCCATAGAATATGACTGAAAGAGTAGCAAAACACGACAATATCATAGATTTGAGCACAAAAGATTTGGGAGATGCCAACATCATTTTCAAAAGATCTTGAAGTTACTATCATAGTATACAACTACAGCAGCTATCAAAAAAAGTATGCAAAGCTGAAAGATAAAAAAAAACGAATGCCTAAGTCATGTATGACGAAAAGACTTACTATAAGAACGAAAAAGATTCTATCGCATCAAACAGCTTCGGAGTCGGTTTATCGCAATGGGTGATCTATTGTCTGCTAAGAATTCCACCTCAAATGTCACTAACATTTGTAAAGATCTGCCTGGTAATGGTTTAGCTGTGGCAAATGTTTCAAATGTCTGGTATCTATTAGGCTGTCCCGAAAGTTTTGTCGGTTTTTTTCATCGCTCACTAAAACCCAAAGGACACCAATTCATGGACGATCTAAGTATCATTTAATTTAGATTTTTATACTCTTTCTTATGCTGTATTTGCTTTCTGATCTACCATGTCTTTGCAAAATTATCGTCATGGCTTTTTAAGCACTTTACCACTAACGCCAAATTTTTTCTGAATTTTAAAAACTTTTATCCTGCTGTTTCCGAAAAGCGCTAGTAACTGTTACGTAGAGCAAATCTTTGGCTACATTGTGTTTACTTTAGATTACATGGATCACGTTTATCAAGTCCGTTAACCATTTATTTAAGAAAAACCGCGGTTTTTTTTGATTACGTCTACCAGGTAAAGTTAACGAAAATTCCAAAAAGCTGATTTTTCAAAGCAAATTAAATTTGGCTATGTTGCATAGTTATTGTTTATTAGCAATCAAGTTCCAATTCGCAAAAATTTCAAGAGCTTTCATGTTTTTGCTGCAGTTGCGTGTTTCATGACTTTGCCAAAAATTGAGACCGCCGAAGAAATAATTTTTTGAAGCTAAAGACAGCATTTTAAGAGAATGTAAAAAGACCGCCTTGTAGTCCGAGAATTATTCTATTTGTGCCATACTTAACCACCTCCGGAATATTGGAATGAAATTTTCAAAAATTAGCCTAACTTTGGGCCGATAAATATGACGGGAGAAGAATTGTAACAAATATCAAAAAAAGCATACAGACTTATTGCTAGGAAATGTAACCATAAGAAAAAGAAGGAAATGCTGCATGGAATGCATGTTAAAACCTACTCAGATCTTCACTGTGCATAGTTTTATAGCGCTTTGAAAAAACCGACAAAACTTTCAGTCCAACCTAGTATTTTGATCAAACTCAGCAGTCACATAGCAGCAGTACCTAAACATAAACATTGTAAGCAACTATCAACCGCCAATTTTTTTTTGAGTGGTGCCAACAAAGGCTCATGTTACGAATGATTTCCCAAGCAATTTTTGCATCCTGCTGTTTGTGGTTTTTGTGGCTTCCACATAAATCGTGAAATCAGACTCAGATACGTGCCAAATACGGAGAAAAAAACGGTACAGTTTTGTCATCTGAGATTAATTTAGTTCGAAGGAACTAGCAAAACTTAGGAACTCAAATGTAGATGTAAAAAACTTGTCTGAATTCATTTACTCTCTTTCTCCTCTTTGAGGCTTTCTTAGCATTTACTACAAATTGGATGACTTAGATCACTTAGCGGTCAATTGGATCACTTAGCGCACTCAGACATTCGCGGTTGACGACCGCCGGTGAAAGGGAGTTCGACTCATTGACAACCTGCGGTACACATCCTTTTGTTTCGGGATAATCCGGCTATTGGTTCGGGACAAGACTGCCGGAGAAACGCCGGTCGAACAGGTTTCACCTGCGTTTGGTTCGGGATTCACCTGCAGCACATGTTCGGGTCGAACGCAGGTGAAACGGCGGTGAAATGCAGGAGTCCCGAACCGACCATGGGGCGTGGAATTAGCCGTAGAGCGCACTTGATAGTTCAAATTTCCGGCATACATTGTATACTATGTAAACAACAGATACTGAATAGACAGAGATTTATTCATCTCAGGTTAACTCAACGACAAAACCATAACAAATGATAAGAAAACTCGTAACAACAGAATCGCAGCAGCAAAATTATACATTCCTGAGCAAAAAGAGAAAAATCTAGTGTCAAGAACAGAATCGCAACAAGAAAATCGTACATAACATAAGGAATGCATTGAATTTCCATTCAATGAGTGAACACAACAGCGAGAATAAGCGATTGCTATGGACTGAACATCATGATATAAGTAGATAAAAGCAAGTTTTGTTACGTTGTTTGTGACATGAATGATTGTGAGGCAACTTCATACTCTCAACAACAAAATCACAACAAGAAAATTACACATTCCTGAGCACAAGGTAGCATTCGATAAAGTAAAAAAAAGACTAAAAGAAATGGCTAGAGTTTAGTGAAGAGATCTCTATGTTATTCAAAGGTAAAAAAGGTATATACTTCACTTGAAAAGGGAAAAAATTTAAGCACCAGCACTTTCAACCATACTGGAAACAGTTGAGACAGCTGCGATGGCATTACCCAGAGAGGAAAGGATAGCGATAGCCGATAGGGATAACGCATAACGATAGATTTAGCGATAGCAACAGCGCTAGCGCATCAAACCAATTTCTTCTTTGAAACACATTCTTCCCCAAATCAGCTCAATATCTAAACTTGCACTGAATATGATATCTTCTGCAATTTCCATGGTGAAATTTACCTTCTGTAAATTCTGCAGGCGATAAAAGCAATTCACCGCCAAATAATCCGAGTGCTACAAGCACGAAATCTGAGATTTGAATTCAACTCCTTTAACTGGTCTTAAGAAAACTTGCCTATGAAATAGGTGACTAGTGACTCAGGAAGGTCCTTCAGCCTTTTATCCTCTTCGTTTTACCAGATTTTCTCGAATGGCGCGGCTGGGATCGCATGCCTAATCACATGTACCTGTCGGACAAGGCTGTACAGGGTAGTGCCTACGTTTTAAAAAGTGGGGAAGAAATCCAATACATGGATATAGTAGTCGTGCTTAACCGAAGTCATGTTTGTCTCCTGAGATAAGCTGATCCTGGCCCAATGTCACGCTTGCTACGCTGCATTACCTTGAAGGGAGGCTGTCCTTTGCTGTTCCAAATTCGCGAAACTAAAACTTAAACTCTAAAGAAAATTTCACGAAAGAATAATACTTCTGTGCTTATTGTAAGCAAAATCTTTATTTCATGGCGTTCGAAATGCTCATTACTCTCAAGACGTTTCCGTTTATCAAAATCATAGGTTTCGGCAAGAATGCGAGAGTCACCCCATTTCTATATTACACCAGAAAAAGATTTCTTCGCTGGGGAAAAACTCTTACATTATGCAACTGGCCGTGTATCTCAGTGACTCGATCTATGGTATTCGACAATAGTAATCTAGCTGTGGTAGTAGCCTTACAAGATGAAGCGAAGCTCTTTTGGCGAAATTGTTCCTTTTCCATGTAACTCTGCAGCACAAATGAAGAAGACATTCATGCAAACAGTTGGTACGCACCCCCTGAGAGGACAGCCAGACTGATCGCATATGGCCAATCTGTGACCAAAAGGTGTGCAGCAATGATTGCAGAAAAAGCAGTGCTTGTACGTAAACGTGTACTAAAAGGCAGCAGGATTCTAACCATTATTTCCGAGTCAATCCGGCGCGCCCTCCTTCTGAGCATGTTTGCCTTGATTCCACATGATGAGCAGCTCATCTAGGTATAACCCCATCACATCAGTCACACCAAACTACGCAGAAAAATAGACTTATTTTTGGAATTATGGTACTTTGCTCTCTGCACTTGTTTTTCTTAAGCTCTCACTCTGCTCATGACTACGCCCATCTGTAAATCGACGTTGAGTATGTGGAAGCATTAAACGATTGTTTGGGCTTATTGATAATCTGGAAATCACATTCGTCTATTCTCGCACTACGCTTGTCATACTGCGTACCAATGAGTCGGACGAGTGCGGAAGGGTGTTCGGTTTTCTTGCAGGCTTGTGATCTGTTAGAGATTGAAAGACGCGGTATTTTGTGAACCAACAATCCCAAGCAATTCGTATGAATACTGAAAATATGGAGAGCCTACAAGGCCTGCAATGCCATAGTCAATCGTGGGGAGAAATTTGAAAACTACCCCAGTTCGATTAGCAGTTTTTAGGCCGTGCTTCAAGCTTCGCAAAAACCGTAAACATCTTTGAAGGAGACTTATTGAAAGAATAACTGTTCGAGCATGACTCGTGATAGAGTTCTTGGCGTAAACAAGACACCCGGGAGCAGTATATTCTTATGCGAATTACTTTCATAATCTGAGAGGTTTTCTATTCTGACATATAGTGGGCCACGCTTCTGATTTAAAAAATTTTTGGGATCAGTCAAGAAGATAATGTCGAAAATACGTTAACTTGCTAAGCCTCATAAAGACAACACCATCTGTGCTTATTGTAAGCAAAATCTTTATTTCACAGCGCTCGAACTGCTCGTTACTTCCAAGACGTTTCCGTCATAGGTTTCGCCGAGAATGCGAAAGTTTCCCACCCCATTCCTGAATCACACCAAAAAAGATCCCTCACTGGGAAGAAAACTCTTACATTCGTACGCTACCGGCTATGCATCTCAATGATACGATCTACGAAACTCGACAATACTAGTCGTAGCTGTGGTAGCAACCGTTCATGATGAAGTGACGCTCTTTTGGTCAAACTGCTTCTTTTCGATGCAACCCTCCAACATAAATGGAGGACATTCATGCAGAAAGTTGATATAAACCCCTTAAGCCGACAACCGGATTGATCGCAGATGGCCAATCTGTGACCAAGAGGTGTGCAGCCATTATTACAGAAAAATAGTGCTTGTACTCACACGGTTCCATGAGTTTCGTCTTGAGGCACCCCGCATCATACGTAAATATGGACTAACAGTGCAGCGGGACTGTAATCATCATTCCCAAAGTGAGTCTGATACGCCCACATGTTTGCCTTGATTCTACATGATGAGCAGGTCATCTAGTATGACTCCATCACATCAGTCACACCAAAATGCGGAAAAAATTTAGCCATATAGGAGCCTTCTTCTTGTTATCATCACATGAATACGTTACTCCTTGAGATAGAAGAGGCCTGGAATCCAGGCTACGTACATCATCTGCATGGCTTTGCAGATCGTGCACAAGCGTATTGTGCCCCTAGCATGAGGTGTACTCGGTTCCTCAGTATCTGCTCTGGCTGCACCATTGCGATCTTCAAGCCGATATGGTCTCGCAGGAGGACAATTAAACCCATCTAATTGCTCATCATACTAATTTTGATCATGCGCCTAAGTACTCTCCTGCTTCCCGCCTACTGTGGGTGTAACGCCTCATCGCTAGCTGTAACTGACTCAGGCGCAGGTAGGACACTGGTACTGCCATCAGATACGCCACTGAGTGGTCCTGCCTCACTCTCGGAAAGCAAAGCGCCGCGAATACCCGACGCACACGGATTATTTGGCGGTGAATTGCTTTTATCGCCATGGTACATGTGATCAGGCATGCGATCCCAGCCGCGCCATTCGAGACTATGCTTGTCGACTATCTGGTAAGAACGAAGAGGATAAAAGGCTGAAGGACCTTCCTGAGTCACTAGTCACCTATTTCATAGGCACGTTTTCTAGAGACCAGTTGAAGGAGTTGAATTCAAATCTCAGATTTCGTGCTTGTAGCACTCGGATTATTTGGCGGTGAATTGCTTTTATCGCCTGCAGAATTTACAGAAGGTAAATTTCACCATGGAAATTGCAGAAGATATCATATTCACTGCAAATTTAGATATTGAGCTGATTTGGGGAAGAATGTGTTTCAAAGAAGAAAATAGTTTAATGCGCTATCAAGACCGCGAGCAGACTGCCCAATACATGCGCAATACCCCTTTGCAAATCTTTGTAGAGGCCGCAATCCTTTTGCGAGCTTTTGTATTGCTATCGAAGAGAGTCGGCATGTCGCTACCAAAATACTAAAGGCCATCAAAATCCATGTCAAAAAGAGTGATTTTGATTCAGCAGATGGAAGAGAAACCAAGTTTCAGAAGTACAACAGTCAAGAAAGAAGTACAACAAAGAAAATGGCGTGCTTCAAAAATCAGTAAGCCATAAGCAAGGCTGGCTGTATTACCATCATAAGCTGCCACAAATATATCGCTGCCTTATTCCAGCTCTGATGCAAAGAGAATTGCTAGGAGTAGCTTGAAACCTTTTCAATACTCACAGCTAAGTTATTCTTGAGTTTTGCCCAGTTTGAACAGCGTAATGCAACGGAGTATAACCATCTTTATCGGTTGCATTCACATCTTTTCGCCAACCTCCAGTATTGTCCCTAAGCAAGATATATACTCATTTACAGTCATAAAAATAGCACGAGTAAACAACAGGAAAACTCACTGAGAAGCTCAGTCTGGGAAGCCATAGCTGCGTAGTGTCTTACAGTTCTCCCACATGAGTCGCATACTTTGAGATTTGCTCAAAGTATCTCTCAAGTCTCTACAGTCCGATTGAAATGCAGCAGAAGGGGGAACCAGCTGAAAACAGATAGGTGTCAACCAGAGAAGTAATCACAGAAATTATCTATGATAAGGGAGTATGGCGAGACAAGTTAAAAAAAGAACAGTGCAGAAAGGTTTGCAAAATACCAGTGATAACTGATAGTGATAACTACCTAAATGTAGTGCAATGGTTCTCCTCTTTTCGGGCTTCAATCGAATACCTTGTTTTTGTAGGCAAACAGTAACGAATCCTTCCCAATCTGCGACATTCCCACTACATCAAGCTTCGCGTTGTTGAACATAGAAACGTCAAGAGTTTCCGTCGGATTCAATATCTGAAAACAGCTATCGAATGCGAAGCGATCCAAATGAACGATCTTCAAACAGCACAATATGACCAGGTTTACCTTTCTGTCTTCAAACTTCACCCAGCTGAATTCGTACTTGTCGTTACTCTCAGTAGCCTGTACACCAACACAAAGCTGAGGAAAATCGGTGCGTGCGTTGATCAACTGAATAGTTGCTAATTACTGACTGTTTGAGTCATACATACACTAACCTTAGAAGGACTTAGCGGAAATCGTAAGGAACTGTCAAGTTCAGATGACCTCACGAGCAAGAATTTGTTCAGAGGTTCATACCTAAAAAAAAGTTTCCAAATATTGAATCGAAGGCGAGAAAAACTGAGTGGGAGATGAAAGAAAGGAGAAGAAGCCGGAAAAAAGAAGCAATTTTGCCATACCGAGTTGAGGTTTAGTTATTGCTTCGTTAATAAACATGTAAATATACTTTCACATGAATTTCAATATGAAGCAGATTATGATCTGATGATCTTAAACGTAAGAAGAAAAAAATCCCTAATCAAAAGAGCGCTAAACCATCCAGCAACAAAAACTTCACGAAAATGATAAGAATTTTGCGCTAACTAAAAAGGAAACCAGCAACGTGCATATATGAAGGGAGATGCAGTTCTGAATCACTTAACTCTTTAATCCAACTTGTGCAGATTTAGAAGTTAGATAAAGAACGCACCACTGAAACAACAAAACTGAAGAAGGAGTGCAACAACAGAGAAATACAGATCCTGCCTGCGGGCCTGTGCCCCGTGAAGTCGTGCACTGCATGGCACCTCTGAAAAAAATTCAATGTTGAAAAATCCCTGAAAATGCAAAAAGAAAGAGCATGGAACTTGAGGAAGAAACTCTATGACAAACAAAGAAAATTTGTATGCAAAAACCGTTCAGTCCAAGGAAAACAAGTACCAGACTCTGCGTTATGGGCGCTGAACATGCAGATAGAGCAAACTCTGCCTTTAGCAATTCTTCTGAAAGTGTACAAACAAATCGTGTACAAACAAATCCCCCTTAACAACTGTCAACACTTGACGCGAAGAAGCAAAGCTCTTGTACTAAGAAGGATGACTGATCTGAGCTCAAACTTCAGAAGCAGAAGGTTGCAGTCCGAAATCCGATAATCTGAACTTGAAATCAAAGAAGACGCCGATGAACGCTGGGAATATACGAAGCTTTAGGAAACAGGCGGAACACTTGAACGTGTGCTTGAAGCCGGCTATCCTCGCTGCATGCAGGCGATCGATTGTATTGATACGCGTCGGGACAATCCCGACGCAATTGCCGGTGAATCGGGACAACCGCAGGACACAACTTTGTCCCGAAACAAAGCGAAAGTGGGCGGATCTCCGGCGGTCGTCAACCGCGAATGTCTGAGCAGTGACTTGTTCCATCAAATTACTACTGCACTTCTTCAAGTACAAATATTTTCCTCCCAAAAACCAAATTTTGGACTCGACATATTAGGTTGTTAAAAAAATAATTCTGCATAACATCCTATTGTCGTAGCTCACATACAATAGACAGTAAATGTTACATTTTGAACTGATTGTCTGTTTGTATGTCTGTCCTGCATGTTTGTACGTATATTCCGATTATAAAATCTTATTTCTGAACCGATCCGGACCAAACTTGGCAGACATATACTTTGGGGCGGGGGGGGGGGGGGAATGAGGTCGTAAGCCACTTTTTTATCGATCGATCAATATTGAATTTTTGCAAAGTTTAAGATACGAGGTTGGGGTTAAAACGGGGAGTTAGTTGAACATGCTGATCACGAATACAAAGTAGCTGAAAACTATGGGCGTCACATCTTCCGTTCAATAATCTTTGAAAAGTTCCGTAAATTTGCATGCAAAAAAACAAGGGCATCCTAGTGTATTGACTATAACTGCCGATTGATGTTCCTACAACATGACGTTACAATGTTCAATGCAAATTTTAGAACAGATTGAATGAGATCAAAACGTTGTATTATTACTGCTTCATGCTGCGCCTCTGTATTCATGCTAACAATTTTGATATACAATAGCCCACAAACTGCGAGGCAACTGTATTCCGAGTCACCACAAAGTGGACTTCATAATCCAGGTATTCCCAGTCTAAAAGCCCCTACGCTGTACATGCCTTGAACAAACAATGTAAACCACATTTCACGCGTAGCGGTTTGAAAAAAAAATTAGCGGTCGGGGTAGAAAAACTTTGTGGGCATAAGCGTGTAAGCAATTTGTCTGTCAAACAAATCTCAAGACTTCAAGGAAAGGTTCATAAACTCAATTGTGGTTTGAGGTTTACAGCGGTGTTTGAAAACGCGCGCACCACCTTCGCGCCTGTTGACTGATATGGTTTTTGGGCCTTTGTTCCGCACTTGACTCTATATAGCCAAACGGAAATTCAGTAGATCACAAACAAGTACCAACCTATATGTTTGGTGCGGGAAGCACCACTAAGGATAAACGAGTGATCGCGATCTTCTGATGGGGGCATGAAAGCTATGTATCAACATAATGACATAATGCGGCATCTTTTTCTGAGATTTTTTGTTAAAAGTAAAAAGTGCAATACTGTTAGACATAACGCTCGTTCTTACATCGACTAAGAATTTTTTATGGTTTAAGAAGACTGGACAGAGTGAAAGTTGCGTCACCAAAAATGACTTCACACAATTTGATCTCTACTTTGTTTAATCATTTCTTTTCAGCAATTGACAAAAGCAAACAGAAGTGCACGGTCAGCCTAAAGTTTACCAATCCAATGATCCAGATGTTGATGGAAGATTTGCCTTGGAGAAAATTGGAAAAGAAATTCAGCTACTTGCATGAAGGTGGACATTACATTCCCACAGACTGCAACAATCCAAACAGGGTTAGGTTTTATTTCTCTTCGACAAAAAAGCATTTTTTGCAAAAGCTTATTTCAGCGAACCTCCGACATGATCAAGAGGTTAATGTGCGGCAAAATTTTTAAATTCAATTAGACACAAGCCGACTTTCGTTCTCTCACACGCTTTACTTTGATTTCTATGTGGATTCAATTAGGAAGCCCTCTATAACAACTTTCCACGTCAAGTGGCATGTTCGCGCAGCATAGATCCAAAGCGAGAGCGCATTGTAAAGCTATATTACCACTTTGAAAAGTGAGCGAGTTCTCCAACACTTTCAACAGTCATGTGCATGCTTCTTCAAAAAGGCCTGACTAACAGCGAGCAGTACGACTAACGAGCTTTAGGGCCATTTTACACGAGCACAGAAAGAGTTTAAACAATGTAACAGAAAACAGCAAATCGACCTATATGTCCATAGTAAAATAGGAACAAATTATTGAGATTCATAAGCAGTGTCCCGTATTTGTAGAGTGGACAACAGGAGCAAACATGAACCTACTACCTGGCATACCCGTCTTTGCCTAGTGTCATTACACCATAATATAAATCAACCAAATTCTACCCGTACGATATTCCCTGTCCCGGTTTCACCTCGCTGTGTCAAACTGGGTCAAACCGGGCGGCGTACGCGGCTTACGTCACTTTCGCTTTTATGATGAAACATACCGAGCGTACGCCGCTTTCCCAGATAGTGTGGCCCAACCCAAAGCCGTGCCTCCCTATTTCTCAATCAGCATGCTCACTTACACCTGCGTCAACTACCATCTCCGTAGCTCAAATTCCCCAAAAATCAATAAAATCGATAAAAGTGCGACATATATTAGGTCATTCCGAAAGTAATTTCGCTTTTTTCAAACGGACGCCACGTGTGATGGAACAAAGGTTTCTAAGAGATCTTGGTAGCATTCGAAACAGCATTTCATTATCTTTATAATGGTTATGAAATATTTACAAAACAGTCAATGAGCTTTCAGAAAATAACCAAAGTCTGCGACCTATGTTTTTTGAGATGGTCAAGTTTCAAGATTTTTTAAAACTTTCATAACAATCCTCAGAAAGAGTTCAACTGACGGTTCGATAGAGCAAACCTCATAGAATACAGTTCAACTTTTTCTCTTTTCAATAGCTTGTCATACATTTTTAACAGAATTTCAACTGATGCTACCGATTTCCATACTTGGACAGCTAAATCCCAGTAGAACATCAAACCTTGAGCAGCTCGGGTGTCATTCGATGCAGCTTTTTCTCCTCTTTCTAATGGGTGTTTTTTGTTTCCGATTCGTTTAGTCTCCGGGGATAAAATTATCATAACTCAATTTTTTAGGGAGCCCAAGGCTGTACCCGAAAAACTCAAAATTTGATATTTCGAACAAGTAAACCCTCACTTGCTTTGTAAAATTAATGCTAACTCATAGTACTATCTTGGTAGTTTCAAATTCCGAAAAATTATGGTGTTTGATGCGATTGTGGTTGAGTTGGGCCTGCCAATATCCGGTAGTTAATTCTGTTAAAAATCTAAAAAAATATTACCGCGAGATACGAAGAGAAAAAGTAGTACTGTATTCTATAAGGTTACTCTATCGAATCGTTACTCAAACTCCTTCCGAGGATTGATATGAAAGTTTCAAAAAATCGTGAAACTTGGCCATCTCAAAAAGCATGGGTCGCAGATTTTAGTCATTTTCTGAAAGCTCATTGACTGTTTTGCAACATTTTCATGAGCGTTGGAAAGAGAATGAAATGCTACATCGAATGCATCCAAGATCTCTTAGAAACCTTTGTTCCATCACATGTGGCGTCCGTTCGAAAAAAGCGAAATTACTTTCGGAATGACCTAATATATATGCTGATCGATAACCGATATGCCGAGCCCTAAATTGTTTTCATAATCAATTTCCCACTTACCCCTTGTGCCATTTCCACCTTGATGGCTCCATTGAAATCGAAAAATTACTAAAAGTAGTCGATAATTTCGAGAAAGTAATATTGCATTCTGCTCGCTTACCCGATGTGCCAATCCGAAAAGTGATATTGTATCGGTGATCAGCATGCTCACTCTTCCCCCCCCCCCCTCCCCCCTCCCGTTTCAAATCTCAGCCCTGTAGACTAAACCTCGCAAAAATTGATAAAATTGGTATATAAGTAATCGATAATTTTCGAAAAGAATGCTGATAACGAAGTATTCCCTATAAATAAGACTTCTTTGGAACGTACGTACAGGCAGACAGATAAATAGACAAAAACTTCAACTTTATATACAAAATGTGCTCGAATAGAAATATTATGTCAAATACGTTAAGTTGGGTTATAATTATCGCACGTTTTTGTCATTATCTCTTCTAAACCTTGAATATTCAAAAAAAATTTTTCAAAACTTCTTGCACTGATTTTTTGTATATGCTTTCTTCATTGTACAGCTTTTTTCTATTCAAAGTCTCATGCTTCCGCAGACGAGCGACAAAGCGACAAAAAATTTGTCTTACGCTCTTGGCTCTAAACTAATAGTTAGGGAAGACTGAGTTCAAAAATGCATAATGATTGCAAAGCTTTTTGCTATCAAATGGTTTGTGAACAGATAATCGAAATATCATAAACTACAAAGCTTAACACAAAACTTCTACGCCGTAGCTTTGAGCGAAGAACAGTTGTGAGAGTTCTGCTCTCAGGGCTCTGCAAGAGGTGGCTTTTTCATTTTTCCAAGAACGAAGTCCCTATAGACTTTGCCACAATGATACGACAACTTCTATGACTCGATCATGGACAGATCAAAACACGAACAACAATTAATAATGAAACAAAGCATAAAAACAACATTGAACAAACAAAAAAAAGAATTAAGAAAGTTCGTATTTTCCGAATTGATGGTATGCTGTGTCCGGCGCGCACCATTGCGCGTTTGTAGAAGGGCCGCCGTCATACAAGATATTTGAAGGCCTGTAACTAGGCGAGAAGGAGATTTGAGGAGGTTCAAAAATCCAATCATAGGGTTTTTTGGTGTAGAACAAAGTTATGTTGAACTTGTGAAAAAATTGTGCAAAAGAAAAACTCAGGTGGGTGTCCAGGTGGCTGGAAAACCACCTAACTCCAAAAAAGTTTGCAACGCCTTCAGTTCACATAATTTTTTTACAATTCTTCGTACATAGTCTTAACTCCCTATTGCCAACCTACACACTAATTTGGTGTTTGAATTTCTCTTCGCTGTAAACAAGGCTTTTATTTATTTTGGGGCAGGTGAAGTCGCGAGCTTAACTGGCAAACCTGTTGAAACAGGAATTTTCTGGTTTTGCAGGAATGGGATCGCTAAGGCAGGGATGACAATCTTGTCCTCTACAGAAGATGGTGACATAAGAGGGAGAGGGAGGGGGGAGAGAGAAGACTGGAGTTTCCGTAAATACTGCTTTTGCTTTTGCCTGAAGCGACACGTAGCTTGCCCCCTAAGCCACCTATGCCGAGCCCTGCCTGCACTGCGTGGCAAGAGTGAACCTAATGCATCAGTGAAAAGGAAAGTGTAGAATTTTCTTATATTCCAGTAAAAAATTCAGAATTTGCTGCATTTTCTCGTAGAAATTTCAAATTTACTACTCAAGTTATAGGTCGCAGTGATAATTCCATACCGAAATCGTGAACCACACCTCCGTGTTCTACTAAATCACATGCATTCTTTTCTTACCGAACAGCAACTGGACTACTCTATTTTTATTGTGGAGCAAATCGCCAATCAGACCTTTAATCGCGGCAAGGTAGAGATCAGCGTCTTAAAAACCTATCAAAATTGAGAAGTGTTTAGCTTCTGAACATTGGCTTCGTTGAAGCAATGAAGCTTTACAAATGGCAGTGCATTCTCCTTCATGATGTAGACCTGCTACCAGAAGATAGAAGAAACTTACATGTGTGTCCTGGGCAGAATCCGCGCTACATGGCTGTTGCAATGGACAAGCTCGGTTATAGGTAATAGTCTCTTTACAGTGCCGGAGCACTGGCGACTTATTCTAAATTATGCCAGAAACACTTACAAACGTAAGTTTGGCACAAGCACTATGTTTAATGTCAAACAATTTCGTGATGTAAACGGACTATCCAACCAGTACTGGGGATGGGGAGGAGAAGACAATGATTTTTATAACAGGTGCACTTTTTATCTTAATTTTTCAGAAAGTGAAACAGCTTGTTGGAGTACTACCCTTTGCAGAACCCGCTTGGCAGGATACGAGGTAGAACGCTATAATGCCTCTATAGCTAGGTATAAGATGATAAAGCACGAAAGGGACGAGGGAAATCCAATAAATCCGTGAGTAAAAACGAATTTATTTTTCATTTTTTTTAACCTTGACGACAACACCACGCATTGGTGCACGGCGGCCATCCTTTCTTTGTAGACAAAGCTTCACAATGGTGCCGAGGGCACTTTAGATTTTCATTCTGATGTGCCTCTTCTTTTTGGTTTGTGTTCATATAATCAAATAAGACTGAAAGGTATTTCGTATTACCCCCACCCCTCTTTTGACAAACTGCGCCCAGTTGCCTCCGTAAATCACAACAATTCCACTAACAGCGTAAAGTAAGTCTGATCGTTACTGCGAATTAACGGAAAGCAATAGCCATTGATACAGTAGCATAAGTATAAATTGAGTACAGTACAGTGTAGTAATGCCTGCGCAGGCCACTGAGACGAGAAGAGTATTGGCAGTTAAACACTCTTCTGGCATCTGTCTTCTATGAACGCATTAATAAGATGCCTTGTAGAATCAGAAAGTCACAACTTGGTTGTAACGCATTGTACATCCACCATTGAGACGAGGCATTTGAAAGTGCCCATGATTAGAGGTTTTGTCGAAACACACAAACAGTTTTGCACCGCCAACAGTACACATATTGTTCGCATATACGTCAGCTGTATCCAAGTACCACCAAGAATTTGATAACGTGTTGTTGTTGCAGCAACTTTTAACTCTCGCTTGCGATCAAAGTGCAAGAAACAGTTTTTGGACTAATTTTGAATAATAATTGACCTGTAGCATACTTCAACATTGCAGAACAAGTTCAGGCTACGTGAATATTTTCGGTTTGTATTCTTTTGTTGTTATGCTACTAATTTTTTGAGAGCTTAGTTCAATCTGTATAACATAAACTTTCTCAAAGCAAGTGTTTTTGATCTACACCACCCGGTCCTTACAAGGAAAGAATACTCGGTGACCGTTGCTTGAAATGGAACGTAAGCCATTGAATACATCTTGAAGCGCTGATTCCAAATCTGTTTTCAATACCTGCTGTGCGATCTTACAAAAGAAGTTATAAACATTTCTTTTCACCAAAATTTGCACTGTTTTCGATTCAGAATTTACCAACATCGTTAAAATGTTCGCTTACGAACTAGAAAACGTATAGATAAAGTGAAGCTTTACGTTAATTTAGTAAAACTGTCATCAATACATCAGAGTCTAAAAAGCCTGGATACTGACTATTCTGACTGCCTAAATCTCGCAAAATCAATATGAAAAAAGGTCCATATTTTTGTTCAGAGAGTCGCACAGCAGATAATGAGCATAGATTTGGAATCAGCGTTTCGAGGCGCATCTATTGGTATGCATCTCATTGCAAAAGCACGGTCACCAAGTATCCTTCCTTTGTTGGGGTTGAGCCAGGCTGCGCGGCGTACGCTACGCAGCGTACGCTCCTATGATGAAACATACCGAACGTACGCTGTGTACATCACGTACGCCCGTATGCCGCGCACTCTGGCTCAACCCTTCACCGTATTCTTGACTAGCAATTCAATCATGCTTCTGCTTCAATGGTGTTCTCAAGGTGCGTTAAATTTTGCAAATTTAAGCCTCCAACAATCTAGAAGCTCTCTCATTAGCTCAGTATGTTTGAACTGCAAAGTCTCGAAGACCGAGTCAACGATACGTATTGGTTTGCTCTTTTGTACTCAAAAGAAGTGGGTTCCCTCGGACATGCACCGTGCGGTGCGAGGCCTTAACATTCGATCACGAACAAGAAATATAGTCGAAAAGATGAGAAACTAAGCCTTGGAGCGGGGCTCTCCACCTGTTTGAACTTCTGCTCTGCGTTAGAGTACGCCGCCATAGTTACAGTCGTAGGCTCTCGCAGCGACTCTGCGGCCCGTAGTAAAGCTCGGTCACGGCAGATGATCTTCCCTGAGGCCCTCATATGAGGCTTTGTCGAGTGAGATGAAGGCTGCCCACTTTTCCGTGGTTTAAGTATGCAAGGTCATCCTACAGGTGAGCTTCAGATTAAGCCCGGGAGGGAGATCAGCTCCCGACCGAGTCATCGGAGATGAGCCGAGCGACCATAGGATAAATACTGTGCCAAAGAGGAGAGCACAGAGAAATTCTCCGTAAGTTGCTCCCGAGTAACTTACAAAACACCGCAGCTGACGTTCTTTTGAGGTGCAAAACTCTTAAAACTGCACAATTTCGGGCGCCTAAGTGAGTGAGGATCGATGAACAGCTGATTGCGCGACGAAATCGGAAAAAAGGTTTTTTTGCATTTTCTTGCAGTTTTTGCTTGTTTTTCTCAAAGAACAGCTCCAGATGACAAAAATGTAGATTTATCTTTCTATTCATTTTTCGCCAAGTGTAGTTTTCCTCGTATGAATGCCAAAACAATGTGTATTTGTTTTATCTCGTTGTTTGCTAGGTGAAATCTCTGATAGCTGCTATAATCGATTTTTCGATAACGGCCGCTATCAAAGGTCGCCAGGCCAAGTAGCAAAAATTGTGCCGCTAGCCGCACTTGAACCACGGCACTTTCGGTTGAAACGCATTAGTCTTATCCATTCGACTAGTAATGCACAAATGCAGAAACGTCTCACCGTTGAAAACGCGATCATCCAAGTGATCTGCTCGAAATCAATCGCTTCCCTGGCAATGTGCTGAGGCGCGATGAGATCAACTCCGGCCCACTTCAAGAGAGATGCCCTGATGGGGGTTTACTACGGGCCTGCGTCTCAGTTTTGGCGGAAACCGTCCTATTTCAGATTGTAACGCGGTAAAACGCATGTTCTCCCCTTTTTTGCGTTTTCTAATTGGGACTTTTGGATTTAGCATTGCGGATAAACCTAGGTAAGTGGATTTCCTAGTAATCGAGTTCTTGCGCGGGCACTGCTTTCAAACGGCAAGAACGGTTAGAGTGACTGGTCAGAACTTTCAGGTAAAATTAGTCTTTACTTCGTCAACATTATAACGACATGCAGTGTCATGTTCTCGAATACCAGAATTGATAGCCACATGCAATCTTTGAATTCGTCTAAACTGTGGTGTACGGAACTCGTTGAACCAGAAAGACAAAAAACACCGTTCCTCGCATTTGATAATCCTCTCCAGTTTGTCCTTGAAGGCGGAACATTTATCACATTAGAGCAAGCATAAGTTATACGAAATAGGCAGTGTTTGAAGGCTCCGCCTTGTGCTCTTATATAAGTAGTTAGGTTTGTGATCACATGAAAACAACGGAATTTAAACTTAGTTTCTGTAGAACAAAGTGGTGGGTACATTGTCAAAGATAGGAAAATTGTTGGTTTACATGCAGAAAGTAGCGAATACAGCGCTCTTAGGTGGACGAACACCCGATCCATATAAGCAGACACCTAATCTTAGATTGCTCATCAACAGCATAGTCCTGAGAGGCAGCAAAAAAGATCTATACTAAAATCTATGATGTCGTTCGCGTGAGTAGGACTCGCGAAGGAGTTAGGGCGGTTTTCTAGGCTCGGACGTCTGCCTGGACGTTGCCTTTAAAGGCACCATCCACCCAAAATGAATCGATGATTTTGATGCCTATCAATAGTGGGGCCCCAACTGTATACTTATCCAACTCGCGCTGGCAAAAGTTGCTTTCGGAGCGCGAAAGAACGAGAAAATTGCTTCGAAAATTGCTTGGATGACAGGTTCGCCACGTTGGTTCCTCCCTTTTGGTGGGCTGATGCTCGTCCCGCTCATCCGTGCGCGCCCAATCATTCACCGTTCCGAAAAAAAAACGCTCTGCGGACTCTGAAAACGGGGTTTTTTCGTGGTTTTCGCGAGTTTCCTACTTAATTTTCGGAATCAGGGATATGAGAAGGCCCTGGAATGCGAAAACATGGAGATCGAAATTTTGGGTGGACGATGCCTTTAAGGGCTTTGTAAGGGTCAGAACATGGTGATGCCTCTTGCACCACAATATATATGAAGCTCAGCTCAGTTAGCTCACAAAAATGTGACTTTCAAAGTGATAGTCATTTTGGCAAGCATTACTATCGAAACGTAGATGCCAGGATTGTTTTAGTTAAAGATTGTAGTTCACCATATTCTAAGGGTAGCCTTCTTGCCTCTTTTTCCCTCACGTTTACGCGGTTCCTTTTCCATGTTGTCGAGGCTTTTTTGAATGCAAACAAAAAGAAGTTTTCTCTGTAGAACAAAGCTTGCGCAATTGTATCTGAAAACAATGATTGAACTTTCATTTGTCACTTAGTGGCATAGGTCGCTACCGTCTTGCAAATATCTTAGCACCATTATATAACGTTACGTGCAACAGGAAGAAATACGAAAAAGAAACTCTACTCAGACAATCACAGGCTCTCAGCCGGCGGCCACAAAGCCACCGCGAAAACCCACCAAAAGCGCGGTGGCCTCATCGCCTCACTGTCGCTCCCCGCTGAGAACTGGCAGCGAGCGGGCTGCATAAAGCCTTCAGCGCTGAAGGCTTTTCGCTTCGCGCTGAAGGCTTTATAGCAGCCCGCTCGCTGCCAGTTCTCAGCGGGAAGCGACAGTGAGGCGATTAGGCCACCGCGCTTTTGGTGGGTTTTTGCGGTGGCTTTGTGGCTGCCGGCTGAGAGCCTGTGATTGTTAAGTACTATCAGGTGTCTGAGTACTATCAAGCATAAGGCAGTGGTTCTATAGTTGTAGCTGCATTTGTGATTCCACCCTCAATGACTTGCCACAACGCATCAGCTGAAGAACAAGCTATATGTCACCAAAAGCGGCTTAAACGGGGCAGATGTGAGAGTGTTCCAAATATAAAATAATAGGTAGATAGGACAGGACTGTAGCACAAAGTTTTTCAGTTTCTCAACTTTGTTGAGGCTCACAAACTATTCCCATATTAGTTTTGCTTAATTATTTGAAGTTCTGCCACAAAAATTGTAAAATGAGCTCTTTAAAGGGCAAAAAAGACACACATTGAAGAAGGTAAAAAAATAACAATATAGAATAAGCATTGGTAATCTATTGGTATAAATCTGACAAGTTTTCTACACTGCTGCTTCCGCGCGCGGTTACTCTAATGCCGCGTT